CAGCAGGACGAGGATTAAGCTCCTGATTTGTTAATGTGGGGTTTTGAGTATGCAGATGAGTATTTCTTTTTGTATAAGAAAGAAGATGTACTCACACCTCACAAACACATAGCCCAAGTTAGGGCTTTCTGAAAACCTTCCAGCCCCTTCTCCCTAGATCCAACTTGGAGATAAAAACCAAAAAAAAAATCAAACATCAATTTAAAGCTCTACTCTCTTGTTCACAACCAACACTGTATTTGACCCCAGTGATGTTGGGACAACTATTCATAGATTTGCTACAGTTGAATCAGAAGCTCAAGTAAACATTTTTGTTTCTTTAGGAGAAGGACAAGGTTTAAATGTGCTTTTTCCAAGGCATATCATATTCCCAAGTTCGATTAAGCAAATAGTTGTTGGCAGTTTTGTTAGTGGTTAATTTGAGCCAGATGTTGAAAAAAAAATTAAGGGTATGCTTAATATCATCTCATCATAGAGGGATATAAAAAAAAATGAGAGGAGCTAGTGTTCTAGGACCACTGTAGCCCATAGTTTTAAATGGTTGCATGATTACATTACAGTTCGTTTAAAGTCAAGAACAAAAAGCATTTGTAATTTGTTTTGAGCTGACTTTGGTTTATAAAGTAATAGTTTAGCATATGAATTTAGCCAAGATTGAGCTTTTACTTTTACCTCCTTCCATGCAGTCTGAAATAGATCTTACATATGCCCGAATCATGGTGATACAGATTCAGAGATGCAATGGGCCACATTTTCAAAACATGCATGGAGACAAAATCTACAGTGATGTCATCAGCACCTACTTGATCAGTGTAATAAAATCATGTCACTTATTGTGGAAAAAATGTCAGGTTACAGGGCTATGACCGGATGCTTATGAGCACGCTATGTTTGCCCGATATCTCTTCCTTCTGTATCATTTGTTAGGAGCTTTAGTTTATAGCTCTGTCGACAGCACAGGTTAAAACTACATGGGATCTCAAACCTTCTCTGCATTAAACAGGGTCATAGAAAGTACACCAGCAACAGAGAGGGGGTTTAACTCTTCAAGTGCCTATTACTTTAGTTTATTAGCAGAATTCAACTGGTTCCCCTGTTTTCAGGCCTCCCTTTTAGTTCCTCCTGTTTAATCGATATACAAGGCAAGGTTTCATGCCTCTTTACTTTTGAATCATGACATTTCTCCTGTGGTTTTGTAAATGGTCGTAATACACAGAAATACATTGAAATGAGGAAACAGAAGAATTTTAAGGTACACTGTTAAAGTCTTCAAGCATTTGGCCTTTTCCTTCATGGTCTAAGAAACTTGAAACCCTTTGGAGAATGCTCCAATAGCTTTCCTAAAAGGCTTGAACAATTACTGATTGCCAAATTGGTTACATAGTGGAATGCAACAGAATCTAAATCTCTCAAATGTTTTAAACTTATTTACATCTGTTAAGCTAGGCTTTTCACATTTATTTGTCGACTCTGAACTTTGATCCCGGCAAGTTATGATTTAAGCCATTGGAAAGTGCTCTAGCTTTACTGTACGTGCTTCTATGCGACACTGGGTCGTGCATGACAATGCTGAGCAAAAACTTTCAATTGAAGTGAGACATGCAGCTTTGGTTAAAGGGACTGATACTGTTCTCATTGAGGCTGCATCCTTTGTGCTGCTGAATTTCAAGGTACATCAGTATAACTCTCATAACCTACTAATGCTAGAGTTATAATTTGTCATAAAAACTCACTTTAAATTAAAATTATTTATTCATATAGTAATTCTGAACTAAATCAAGTTGACCATGTTTTAAATCAGAGGAGTGAAAAAAAAAAATACTAGGAAGCTAATATCTGGAGATTTATTTAACCTTCCTCTAACCAAAAAAAAAAAAAAAAGGAATGACATTTTTGCAGAACGTTGGCCCATGGTTCAGAGCAATCTTTTAGGATATTTTTTAAATTAAAAGATAAAAACAAGTGAGAGTGAGTTATTAAAAGTGTGGCTGTTTTCCATCAGGATTTCTACAGTGCGTTCTGGTTAAGACTTGTGTGGCCTAATGTCCAGCAGTTATCAACACCCCCCAATTCACTTGCATTTCAATAGGAGCATTGAGTACTTTTGAAGTCAAACTAGTAGCTTTAACATCAGCTTCAGTTCAGTGGAAAGCAAGAGTTTTCTCTTAATGCCTCCATACTAGAGATGGGCCTAAACCAAAATTCTGGATCTGAAGATTTCTGGCCTTTGTGGAAGTCCTGATCCAGATCCAAGCTTTGAGAAATTCGGTGGGGAATGCATTAGAGCCAAATTTCAAAAGCTACATATTTTCTTCTCCTATTTGTGGTTGCATCTCTGCGGTCCTTGATCTCAGATGCATCTCTGCAGTCCTTGATCTCAGATTGCTAGTATGTCCACAACAATGCAAGTACTGTTTTAGTAGCAGACATGTCACAAGACTAAGGTGACCATGAGTCCTGTTTTATACCGGGCTGTCCTATTTTTAAATCCTTTGTCTCCTGTCCATTTCTGAATGGGGAACGGACAGCAAAAAGCCCTATTTTTCAGTTCATTGGTGGAAGTACGTATCAGTCATTTGTCCTTGTGAGTCTGTTTGCTGTGCCTCGAGGTAGAGCCAGGAGGAGAGGAGCTTCAAGCCAGCTAGGGAGGCAGGGACATGGTGGCCCCACCCCTTGCTGCTGACTGGCCAAGAGGTCTGGTGGCCCCACCTCTTGCTACTGATTGGCCAAGGATGCAGCCCCACTTCTCACAGCTGATTGGCCAAAGGGGCCTACCCCTTACCAAGTGGCTGTGTCAGTGGCCACCCTACACATGACGGGACACTCAAAAGATTCAAACAGCAGCAAAATAAAGGAGTTGACCAATTTACAACAGTGTGGTTGGACTAGAGCAGGGATTGCTTTATACTGTTTTTAAACAAAAGGAGGAACGTGCCTTTCTTAGTGGCCTATATGAAAATCGGCAATACATATGTCTGTTAACAGCCGGTTGTAATTTAGTTCCTAAAATACAAGTCAATATCCTGAGTGAGACATTTTAGATAGAGAAATCAGTTACTTTTTTGTCATCATAGGTTGATGCCGAAGTATTTGCTATGCTAGGAGTACAAATCTGGGACCGAAAAAACCCATACCACTAACAGGTGTAGCTCCGTGGCTCTGTTTCAGTGCTTCTGTTCAATAACGGTTGCAATGCTAGTTTAAAAAAATAGTCTCTATAGCAGTTTCAACAGTTTTGCAAACCGAAACACTGCCTCCATTTCCCCCCATCACTCACTGTGCTGCAACAGCCCACCTCAGAATTGTCCTATCTATAGGGCTATTTAAAACTGAATTACTATTTGGGCTATTAGAGGAATCACTTGACTTGGCATAGACTGTATTTGTTGACAAAAAGGCACAGGTGTTGTAACCTTCACTTGATAAATCATTTACTTTAGCTGCTTGACTTGCAAGCAGTACGAGGGCCTCAGCTTTTTAACTGCCTTTGCCATATGCAAATCAGAAATACAGTATGCCTGGGATACATAACCTATGGTTTCAAAAACAAGCTGGTCCAGATACCACATGACTAAGTAACAGATACATCTCTTAGGTTGCCAAGAAAAAGAAAGGTGGTCAAGTACCACCTATTAATGAGAGACTAATTTACGCGTAGCTCATACATGCCTGTGGACCAAGTCATTTCTTTTCTCTTGTCAAAAAAGAGTAATGAAACAAAGGACGTGTTGTCAGCAGAGTCAGTCAGGCTACTTTGGCCACCCGCTTTTTTGTGGCCAATATGTTAACTACTATTGGCTCAGGCAAGCCACACCTTTTTATTATTATAATAATAATAATAATAATAATAATCACCTTTATTGTTAAACCGGTGCTTGTCGATATGTAATACTGGCTGATTCATCCAAAGAAGGCACAAATCAGGGGGTTTTCTGGCTGGGAAGCATACACATTCAGTATCATACAACTCCTTTTTCACTAATCATCAATTACTATGCAATATCTCTTCAGCTTTCTGGAAAGTGCAGCATTTCACTCAGTAGAAACTTCCTGAGCCACAAATCCATCTACTGCAGCATGCACACACCTTGGAAGCTGAAAGCTGGTAAGCCTTGGGCTATAAACACGGGCAAAATTCATGCTCCAGGCAACTAGGCAGATTCAGGACAAAAAGAAGGTCGAAATTGCTACAAGTACACTGCTCCTCTGCTATATTAAAAGGAGGGGAAGTGGACACCATAGAGCCTCAGCGACTTTAGAGAAGAACACCAGTTAACTTTAGCATGCCTGTCCAGTATAACTTTGCTCCATTTGGTTTCCAGATATTTGTTAAACACAAAAGCAGATGCTTATTCCAGAGGAAGCTGCCCACATTCAATTCTAGGACATGATCAAGATAGAGCCATTCCTACACTTCCCATGCTGGTTCCTAAAGTGGAATCAGACTATAAGCATTAAGCCAGAATCAGTTCTCACTTTGACAGATGAGACACTATAGTCGTTCCATTAGTTATAATGGAGTCGCTTCTAGATGCACATAATTGACCACAAAATCCAGCCTCTTGAACGTGCATTTCTATTGTAGGACTAGCAAGGACCCATATTTTTTATATGCCACCCCCAAAAGAAAAGAAGACAGAAATAAAATCTTCCTAGAGAAGAGAAAAACTAAGTGATTAACTTACTAAGTTAGACCTTTTCCTCAGGAATACAAAGCAAAAAGATAAGAAACCCAAGGAGCACATTACTGGGAGAAAGGAAACTAGCAGTAGCAGTTACAAAATAGTAGCTTTAAAACTGCAGGTGCTTTGTATTGCCAGTTAAAGGAGTAGTAGGCTCAGAGGTGCATGCTAGGAAAAATCCTGTGCTCTGGCAAGTTAGAAAGAGTGAGGATGAATCAGGAGTAAGAGTTATTGCTGTTTGGTGTATGGGTATAGTGTTTCTTTAGGTCTGTTATCTTCAGTCTTTTCCATAGTAAATAGCAAGGCCCTTATGGCTTTTCTTTTATATAGATTTTCTCTCTTTCTAAACATTACTTATTTTATATCTCAAGTACATCTATGAATCCAGCATACTGTATGATTCTCTTCTCCTCAAGAACCTACTTCCCTTTCTCAGTCTCAACTGATACCCTAAAAAAAATCCTGCAGTTTTCCATTAGCAGTATTTTCAAGCAGAGGCTTGAGAAAGAGGGGGCTTGTCCTCTGTACAGTACCCTGTATACTAGTGGATGGGGGCTTTATCAAGCAGGCAAGGGAGGCAAATTCCTGAGTAGATGACCCTCCCCTGATATCAGTCAATTATCACTTCCTAGGCACTTAATTGTAAAGAATGGAGCACAGGTGACCCAGCTGACTTCAGCTGTATGGCAGCTCCTGTTGGGGGGGGGGAAGGCAGAAGAAAAGCTGCAAGTTGTTAAGACCTAACCTGCATGGGATTGCATAGATCAAAGTCAGTACCTTGAATAGAAAGCCAGTGCAGCTCTAGAGATCTGTCATTCCTCCAGCTCATATTGTTTTATGCCTAGTTTCCAGTGACAGCTTATAGAGAAAAGAAACCTCTGCAAACTGTTTCTCTTAATAAGTAAAATATGTGGCTTACTTGATAGGGATTTTCTGTTTTTGCTTCTTCCATAACTCCTCCTTCAGCCTCCATTCCAAGCAGGGACAGTAAAGAGACTGTTTTTACCTGAAGTTCATGTGGACGCAGTTCTTTAGCAACTGTTTGGGGCTCTGGGGAGAACTACAAACTGCCCTTTCCCCTGGCGCACCCTTCTCTCCTTTTCCTGTTCCCCCGGGGCTGTGCATTACCGCAGTAATGCATGTAGCTTCTGCTGGTCCTCACAGCAGGAAGCCAGAGCTCGCTCCCAGGCTCAGGATTCCAGCATATTACTGCAAAGTGCTACCAGCTGAGCCAGGGCTTTGCGTCCCGGCAGCTTGTGCTCATAAAAAAAGTGTAGCAGGAGCATGTGGATTTCACATTACAAAAGGCACTTGGAGAGTAGGAAAGGCCCTAGGAAAAATGTTGGTTATTTTGGATTTCTAAGTCCCAAGCTGAACCACTAGTAAGTCAAGCCTGCCCTGTTTGTAGGTTTCATAGATTTATTTTCCCACCACTCACATATATTAGGTGTTTCTGCCCCTATTCAGGCCATTCGGGTCCTGAAGTCTGAATGTAGCCTTGTGTTTGAGCACAAAGGGAGATGAGAGCACTAATTGATGAAAATGCATTTCTGCCAAGTCAGCCCCCTGAGAGCTCCATACATCACAAAGCAATTTCCATAGCAGCAGGCCCACAAAAGCAATGGCTATGAAACACCTTGCTGTAGAGCATGCTTCCTGGTTTCAGGGCTAGAGCGCCTGTCCTCTCGGTGGGAGATGCAGCGGAAGAGAGAAGGAGGAACGTAGAAGATGCACCAAGTGTACATTTGAATTCCTCCCCTGATTAAACAGTAGAGTTGTATAGGGCCTTTGTCTCCCAAGCACATTAGCTTATTTGAATGCTTCTCTCCAGAGCCCCTACTTCTCCCAGACCCAACAACAATCTGCGGTCTCCCCCATACTAGCAGCAGGGTGAGGGGAAAGGAAGGGTGCTGTGCTCTGAAAAGATGGGCATAGAGGCACCATTCACAATTTGTCATTTGGGATTTAGATCAGTTTTAGGCCTTAACAGCCTTCAAACCCATGCACCAGATACCTGCCCTGGGTCTGTGGGCATACCAGTGAACTGTGGATCTCACCAAGGGAGACACGAGTGTGAACTGCTGAGCAAGCAGAGACATTCATACATGTGTGTTCTCCTTTACCAGAGTTTCCCCCTGACTTTTTGGGCTGAAGGGTCCTTTTTTAAGGGCAAAGAGTTTCCCCAACTATAGCAGGATGACCTTCCTCCTGAAAAGGCTACCCTTTTGCAGAGCCAGCATCTGCAGCTCTCAGAACTTGGAAAGATCAGAGAAGAACACAAATTCAGTTTTTGTCCCCATACGGCTCCCTCCACCATGTTGTATTTAAAACCAGTTTTCTCTTCCGGGGAAATTCATCAAGAGAAATATTGGGCAGAGAGCACCCCCACCGGATTAGAACCAGAGCGGTACCACCACGTGGTAGGAGTGGATAGCACACACGCTGCACTAGCAGGTGACCACCAAGTCTGTGATTACACCAATGCTGCATGTGGCCACCAGCTCCCAGTGTAGTGGGTGTCCAGGCTCTAAAGCTCCCCTGGTAGCGTAGAGCACAGAGTGGGGATGCCAAGGTGGCCTGAGATCCGAGGCTGCCCCCTTTCCTTCCCATGGACTGGGCAGCACACAGAGGCCCCAAGTGATGTCCATTCAGCCCTTGAGAAGAACAGCACACTTCAAGTTGAAGGCTCACGTTACACAAGGGGAAAGATTTATAGAAGACTTGTGAGGATCATTATGTGGCCTTATCTTCAAAGTAGGTACAAGCCAAACCACTCTAGAAATGCTTGAATAACTCCCAAGCAGAGGCATATTTTGTACTATACTTTTCTTCCTCCTCCTCTTTGCATACCAGGCCGTGTAGTTCAAACTCCATTAGGAATCTACTTCCAGTGTCCGTGGATGTAAGAAATGATTATTTACAATGGAGACAGACAAATTTCCCAAACCAAACACTTAAACTTATTACATTTTTTTCTGCTTATATTATGTAAGAAGCGTGTTTGAACACCCTCCTTTCTTTGATTTTTTTTTTTATGGGTGTTACTTTATGTACCACAGGAAAGAGGGGAGAGGAGAAGCAAGGCAGTGCCTGGTGGGGAGAGTTGGCAAATGCAGAAATATGATGAATGAGCTAGAAAGATTGGATTTCTTACTAAATTCTCTAGAAGCTGTGTTAACCTTTTGCTAGAGAAGTAGTTGCTCAGAAAAAGGAATGATTTTGTGCTTTTTCATTGCAAAGCCTGCTCTCCTCAGCCTTCCTTTCCTATTTTGTGACCTTGTGACAGAGTATTTAGCACAATTCACAGATTGCTGGAATCTGGCAGGCTGCACCATGAGCACTTCTGCCGTGGCCTCAAACTTACGACTTCTGGGATGCCACCTGTGCCTGTACCACACCACTCCCCCGCCTCGGCCTAGAACCTCTCCAGTAACAAGCATCATTTTCTTTTTTTTAAGTTCAGCTGGAAACTTAGTTTTTAAAAAATCCCATGTTCCCTATGGATTTAACCACTCAGTGCCTGGAGTTGGGACAGAATTCCCCGTTTGGCCAGTTACATAATTCTCTTCAATGGGGATTATTGTATCTTCCTCCGAAGCATAAGACACCAGCCAATGTTAGAGAAATAATGCTGAACTAGGTAATCCATTAGACTATTAGAACATGACAGTGCCTCTGTTTATGGTTGTATGTTGTTGAAAAGGCTTAGAGAGGGACACCCAACTGTGGAAGAACTTGTTTTAAAACTAGTAAAAGTTTTGGGGAGAGTTTTTTTCTGGTTTGCTTTTGTCTGCATGCATGGTCAAGGGGGTACTATCAAGCCTGCAGAATAAAGAGATGATGCAAGAGCAAGTTCCAAACCTTGGAGCACATTTTGGAGCGGCTTTTCTATCAGATGCACAACTGACATGATAAACTCTAGTGGGGTGGTGATCCTCATTGAATTGCAGATCCTTGTGACTGACTGAAATACTACAGGGACTTTGGTAATACAGTATGGGCTGTTCAAACTCTTT